GCTCCGCGCGGGGCTCGCCGTGCCGGGCCGTGCCGGGCCGGGCGGGACGGGGAGCCCCTCGGCCCGCGGGGACAACGTGCGGCCGCAGGGCGGGCGTCGCGCAGCTCTCCCGGGGAGCCGGCGGTCCCCTCGTCACAGAACCGCAGCATTCTCTGAGTTGGAAAGGGCAAGGGACACACATGGATCATCGCGTCCAGCTCTCGGCCCTACACAGTACCATCCCCAAGAGTCACGTATGTGCCTGAGATCGAAACTCATCTGCAGCTCTGTCAGGTTCCGTCGGCACTAGAGAGGGCAGCAGGTTTTGTCAGTGCGGGAAGCGGAACCGCTGCCGAGCGGGCGAGTGCTGCTCTTTGCCCCGCTGCCTGCTCCACCGTCGGTGTGGGCAGCAAGGGCTCCTCGCCTCCCACAAGTCTCCGTCTGTAGGAGCCCGCCGAGGGAAAGCTGGACCGCTGTGAGGCGAAAGGCTGGGGACCAGCGAGCGTGAGGGACAGATCTGGCCTTGTTCAGCCATGGCAAACAAGCAGCGTCTTTGCTGCGGTCTGGCTGCACTGTGGTGTGTGTTAGTTTGGCCAAAGAAAAAATGTATGGTTGTTTTTTAAGCAAAGTGTGTGTGTGTGTGTATGTGTGCTAGTTCCGTCTCACTTCTTGGGATTTATTGCACAGTTCTGACTTATGAAATGCACACTTTTCTGTCACTTCCTGTGTGATGAGTTTGTTCCTTGTTTTCTTGTCCGTGCCAAGTAAACATGCTTCACCTGAAGGCTCTGGTGGGTTGTCTGTTAGACAAAGGAAAAACACAGGCTGGGACAGGGAAAAACTAAAAAGCCACGTAAAAGTTTGATGGTTGATGAGTCTCAGACTGCTAATAGACTCGGTTTCGTGACATTCTTGCTTTCAAAGCAGGCTATTACATGTCAGCTAGCAATTTGGTACTGTTAAAATGTAATTCTTTAAGGACAATCTCACTTTGTCATTTCTATGATGTGATGCATAGTCTTTTGCTCTGTACAGAAGAGTATGCCCATGTGCTATAACATAATCTTCCAGGTCTCATGTCCTTTAAGATCATCTCACAAACTCTAGGCCATTTCAGAACTGGAAATTATATCAGTGGGTACATTGCTTGATTTTTATTGAATGTGCAGTGTGAAGAATACCTGGTGATTTTGAAATAAAGTCAATTACAGCATGTTTTCTTCGATAATATCTAGTCCTTCATCTCAAAGAAAGTTTCTGTGGTATTACATTCTCTAATAATTTGCTTTTCATGTTTAATGTCTCTTCTCAGTTTGCAGTGTGGAAAACTCACACAAACGTGCTGCAGTGACACTGGAAACTTCTTCCAAGCAGAGAAAAGAAAGAAACTCCAAAATAAAAATATGCCGATGCCTCCCAAACATAATTACTTAATATGCCACTGATATCCAGACCACTCAAAAGATACAGAGAGTAGTGTACTACATTGGTTGTGTTCACTGCATGACATAAGACTATGTTCATCAAGATTTCTGTGGACAGATCCTGCAAATACAAAGAATTTGACTGAAATAGATGACAAGTCCTTATATTGTTAAGTTTCAGTAGTTTGTCAGGATCAGGTGTAGTTGGGCCTGCAAAATGTCTCGCCCTCTGGAGTGATAAAGCACACCATCCCTTGCTTAGATTTTGAAAGTCCAGTCTGTGTTAGGACTCCAAACTTTACAGCTTATCTAATGATACCTGGTATTCTTGTTTGTCTTAAATTATAATTAAACATGTTTAAGTATAACATAGCAAGAAACAGAATTGTTCTATGAAAAATCCTTTTTCACTGTTCAGCATTGTTCATTACTTTTATCAGGGTTCTGTCTAGTATATCAATTTTCAAGAAAACCTTTAAAAGGCATCTGCACTCAAAAACTGTGAACATCTCAGGTTTGCATCTAACTGCCATTTAAGCACCCCCCCTTCCCTTTTTCTTTGCTAAATGATGATGCAGTGTCCATACATTTGCATGTTACTATGCTTGGACACCAGTGTCAACCTGTGGGAGGGAGTTGCTCCATACTGTTCACACATTTCATTTTGTGTCTTCACACTCTGTGAATGCCCTTGTGTGTAGGGTGTAGTAACATAAGCATAACCACAGAATCCAAAAACATGGATGCTAAAAAATAAAGTCAGTAAACATATTCCCGAATAATGGACAAAGATACTGCTAATAATACAAAAAACATTATTTCTACAGGTGGTGTAGCAGCTTCAAATTTAGTTTGCTTTTCAAAGCAAGTTACGAACTTGCCATCTGTGCAAAAGGCTTAGTTTTACTTACTTGATTACTTTACTTCAGTGTTCCAAATTCTGAGATTAGTGTGCTGGCCAGGATATAGACTTTGTTTCATTTTCATGTTCAAAAAGCTGAAAATTACAGAAATAGTTCTGTAGTAGTTCCTTCAAAAATTCTCATAGTTGTCCTTTGATTTATAATTTTCAGCTGCAATTAAAATCAAAGCATATTCTCTTTTCAGAAGTAGGGAGTTATTTGCAAAACCTTTTCAAATTACAACACTAACGAAGTTACTTATTTTAGTCAAATCTATGCATGTATTTCACTTTTCTTTCTACTTTTGTAGTAGGATGTAAAATTCATACTGTTTAGTAAGTACATATGTCATAATGTTTTCTCTCATTTTATTTCTGTAATAGGCCCTGCCTTGGACAAAGACATAGTTTGGTTAAAAAGCCATGCTTTCTCTTTAAATATATGATGCGAAGAACAGTCTTAAAAGAAATGTTATCATTTTTTATAGTCATTCTCTGAAACCTTTTTTTTGAAGTTGTATGAGTGATTACCTCCTTCCTGGAGGGCAATGGAAGAAAAAGCACCTGTAAATACAGGTGCTTTGTGTATGACTCGGCTTGCAAAAGACATACTTCTAATTCATCCCCTGTGGGAAAATATAACTTAGAAAAAGAAGCCATCTCTTGGCTTTGAGGGTCCCAACAGGAAGCACAAGATTTTCCTCTTCCATTTGAAGGGAAGACATCCATTCGATAGGGGAAGACATCCATTTGATACTGTTCCTCTGAGGGACAGTAGAAAGTACCTAAAAATACCATTTGTAATGCATTTCTGAAAAGACAGCTTTTGGAGCATATACCTAAGGATGCAAAAGGTAGTTCTCCAGACACTGAATTGTACCCTCATTAGAAGATGCACATCTTTGTCAGTTCCTTCTCCAACAGCCCGCTGTGTTCTTGATCAGGTACAAAATGCTGCATAACACAACAATCCCGTAGGAAAAAAATTTTAAAAACCCTAACAAACATAGAAAAAGCCCTACAAGAACGGGCTTTAGTTCTGTTGCTGAGCAAGTAAAAAGTGCTCAGAGACTACACTGACTAATGCAGGACGGTGACTTTTATAAATCAGTGGAATTGAATCAGGTAATGCTCCCTGTGTGTCCAAAACTGCCCTGTTTCCTTTCCCAGAAGTTTCCAGGAGCTGGATAAGCTTTCATTTTCAACAGCTCTCCGGGATTCCCTCCAAACAATACAAGGAGAAGACAGAGAAGCCTGCTTTGTAGCCGACGGTGATCAGGAATAGTGATCTGCCTGACAGATTGTATAAGAGATGGGTGTGTCAAATGTCCAGTGGCATTAAATCTTGGATTAAAAAGGATTGCATAGAAGTATTGCTGTATTTCTTAACCAATATTGGTAGCATGTGCACAAGTCACCCACATGTAGTGCATGAGATTTTCATCTGCACCTTTCAAATTGAATTGTTCCAGTTTTGTGGATTTCAATAGTTTCTGATAGGTTTTCTGCAAATAAAGATTAAATAATTTTCTTATTTACTATTTAGTGAAGCTAATTGCCTCATGTGAATAGTAAGACCTGCACTGATCTCCCATACTGCTTGTGGCTCTATTAAATGTTGCAATCCTTTGAGCACTGTCATCCATGTGGCTCAGCACAGGTTGGTGTGGATCTGATATGGAAATGGAGTAAATTCCTTCCTTGCCAAGTTAGTTGAGTCACAACAGAGCAGCAGCATGGGACTGCCTTTTAAGGAACGTGTGCCTTTCTCTTATTAGAGGATAAAACCTAGTGTGCAGCCAACAATTTAGTAGCTGGAAAAAGCAGGCAGGCAAGTAAGCACAAGCAATTGGTTTAACTATAGAACTTCAAAATAAATTTTTGAAATGCAGTCCACTGATAGGAAACGGCTTGGTATAAATGGTAATACAGGGAATCACAAATTTACTGTCACCCTGTGACTTTTTGCTTAGTAAACATTTAGGTATACAAGTACCACACAGTGAAGAAAAGGGTCAGTAAGTCTGAATTTCTACTCAAAATCTGCTAACAGAACCAAACAAAATTAATAAAACTGCAGCCTGAGGCTGAAGGAGAACCTTCAAGCATGAAGACTCAGCTTGTAGTGTTTGTTAGTGGTTCTGCTGTCAAAAGTCCTAGTGATTGCAATACAAATACTTCAGGAGTCCATCAGTATGCCAGGACTCCATCAAGTGACTGTCTCCTAACCAAATTTTGCTTGCATAGGTTCTGTTTTGCTTTGTTTTCCCTTTCACCCTTAAAGCAGGGTATCTTCTATGCTTGGCTGGTATCTAAATACAATAACATGTGAATTTGTCTTAGGTTTTCATGGCCAGGTTTTGGTAGTGGGGGAGCTACTGCCTTCTGTCAGAATATGCTGGCAGTGTCCTTCATGTCTGGTAGAGCCAGTGTCAGTCGTCTTCAAGCCAGACATACTGCTGGCCAAGGCTGGGACAATCAGAAATGATGGTGATGCCTTTTGATAACATATTTAAGAAGGAAAAAAAGTTATTGGGTAGATGTAATTGCAGCCGGAGAAGAGCAGACTGAGAGTATGCAAGAGGAACAGCTCGGCAGACAGCAAGGTCTGTGAAGAAGGGGAGGGATGAGGCAGACACTGCAGCTGGGTTTCCCCTAAAGGCCATGGTGCAGCCCATGGTGAGGCAACTGTGCTCCTGCAGCCCACGGGGGACCATATGGATGCAGAGATCCCCCTGCAGCCTGTGAAGGAGACCCACACCCGAGCAGGTGCATGCCCAAAAGAGGCTGTGACCTTATGGGAGGCCTGTGCTGGAGCAAGTCCTGGCAGGCTCCTGCAGATCCAGGGAGAGAGGAGCCTACAGTGGAGCAGGTTTCCTGGTAGGACTTGTGACCCTGTGAGTCCTCATGCTGGAGCAGGCTGTGCCTGATGGATTGCACCATCAGGAATAGGAATAGGCAATTTTCCTGTGAGATGAGCTCACACAGGAGAAATCAATAGGGAACTGTCTCCTGTGGGAGGCACCCCACGCTGGAGCATGGGAAAGACTCCTCTTCCTCAGCACTGGGAGAAAAAATGTCTGGTGAACTGAGCATAACCGCTGTTCCTCTTCCACCTGCACCATTACAGGAGGAAGTAGAGCTAGGAAGGAAGAGAAGTGAGGGAAATTGTTTGTTTGTTTTACTTCTCATTATCCTGATCTGATTTTCTTGGTCCTAAATTCAACTAATGACCAAATTCAGTCTGTTTTGCCTGAGATGGTAATTGATTTACCAGTCTCACTGACTTTATCTCAAATCATGAGCCATTCACTATATTTTCTCTCCCATGTCTAATTGCAAAGGAGAGTGTTAAGAGTAGTTTTGTTGGATATCTGGTATCAAGTCAGGATCAACCCTCCACTGAATTCAAAAAGTTTTCAGTGCTACTATTATACAAATTATATTCATATTCATAATAAATGCCTTCCTAGGTCTACCTATCAATAGGAAAATAATTTTTGACAAAGAAATTGTCTTTGAAAAATCCATGGGAATAGGGAAGTCTACTAGATTAAAAACCTCTCAAAATAGATTTTGGAGGGCCCAGGGTCTGTTTTTTCTTTTGAAAAATCAAACCAAAATCACCTCAGCTTTCTTACCTTAGGCAAATATGGAGAACCGCCTTCTTTCCTCATACATACAAACTAGTATTCCTCTATTCATTCTTGGAGTTTCCAGATATTTAAAGGGACTCAGAAATTGACAGAAGTACTCTAATGCATAATTATAGGTTTCCAGCCCAGTTCATCTTCTTCAGGACTTCATTGTGTACAGTGTTCATGACTGTGTAATGACCTGGCATCAATTTGTGGAAAGTAAGATTGTTCTTTGAATAGTGTTTTCATATGTGTATATATATTAGAATTTTTTTCCTCTGTCTCAAGACACGAATGGAGATTTAGATAAGAATATTTGTTATGGATTTTTAAAATTAATATTTCTAGAAGTTAATTATGTACTGTTTAATAATGTCTGATTTTAAATGCAATGGAGTGCAGCTCTGCCCATATTCTTTTACCATGCATTATTATGGAAAGTTAACCTTCCTTCGCTTGTTTGGCAGCAGTTATCTATCTGTGAAAGCCAGGAAGCTTCAAAAGTTAATGTTTAGGTAAATTCCTTTCCATCAGTAGTGTTTCATCCTGCTGGGTTTGGGGTTTTTCTTTGTTTTACTTAATTGTGTTTTTCATTGTTGTGTCATTTCATCTGCTTTAGTGTAGCAGGATGTGACTGTGATACAGCTAGAAACTAAAAGGACAAAAGACAACACAATGGGGTAACAACAATCCTGTTAAGGTCAACTGTTGAAGTTTTTGAATTTCCTCACTCAAGAGCTCAACGTTTATGATATTTTTCATTCTTTTTTTTTTTTCATTTTGAAATACATTTAGATACAATTACTAAGCTGCTTGGATGCAATACAGAAATCAATGTCATGAAAGTGAACCTAGTGTATCTTGCACATTTTCTTAACTGTCTTCTGTACTCACATCAGTCACCAGAGACTTTTTCAGGGTTCTTGAGTTAGGATGGAGAAGAGAAGGCTTCAGGGAGAAGTCTTCAGGGAGACTTTATAGCAGCCTCCCGGTTTTAGATCATTCCTGTAAAGGAGTCTTACAGGAAGACTGGAGAGAGACTTTTTACATGGGCACATAGTGACAGGACAAAATAGCTTTAAACTGAAGAAAGTAGGTTTAGATTAGATATTAAGAAGAAATTCTTTATTGTGAAAACACTGAGGTGCTGGAACAGGTTTCCCGGGGAAACTGCAAATGGTCCATCCCTGGAAAGGTTCAAGATCAAATTGGATGTGACTGTGAGCAATTTGGTAGAGTGAAAGATGTCCCTACCTATGACAGGGGCATTAGAACTAGATGGCTTTTAATGTCTCTTCAAACCCAAACTGTTTTATGATTCTGTAAGAGCAAGAAACTTTAATAGACACACACAAATATACACACAATAAACTTTTATGAAGTGATTCTACTGCATACAGTAAACTCAAAGTGAAAACATTTTTGTAGGTAATTTTTCCACATGGTATTCTCACTTTAATATTTCACAATGAAGTAAAGACACTGAATTTCACTTTTGTTTCTACTCAGTTTTACTTCTGATTGATAGTATATAGTAGCAGCATGTTGTGTTTTGATTCACAGTTCTGGAAAAGCATGAGCAGAGCTTAAAATCAGAAACCTATTCCAGTCTGAAATACAATTATAAAAATATGCAGTCTGCTGATTCTTCAAATGTGCTAAGTAATTGTTGCTCAAATTAAAATAGATATGAGACCCATTGTTTTATCAATATTTCTGAAAAAGTTACTTGAGAAAAAAGCTAGATATCAGTGTTGGTATCAAATATACACACTGGCAAAACTTTAATACTAAAATATTTTATGTTAAAAATAAATTATTAGGTACCTTTAACATAGCAGTTTTGCTTTTGAATCTTTTGGCCAATTTTAGTTAAAACTAGTAAGAGTATAAGGTTTTCACAAAGAAGTAAATTCCTAGTCTGGATTCAAAAAGGTATGAACATCTGCAAACCAGTTAAGATCAATTCTGAGAGAGGCCTGTCCCACATGCTACCGCTTTGGTAACACAGCTTTCATTAATTAATTGTGGGATCAAACTCTACATAATTTAACCACTGATTTTCACTATTGCTTTGTATTTACATTGGTACAAACAATATCAAACCTATGTCAAATCACTATTTTCTTCTCCTCCCTTATTTTTAAATTTCAGTCAGATCAGTTAAAGACCTTTCCTTGTAACTAAAACAATAAATCAAATTCAGCTCTTTAATTTCCTATATTAAAAGAAGCACCCAGCAACTATTAAATTTGAAAATACTGATATCTTGTTCCACTCTTTATAGCGTAATGGAAATAAACTACATATTGTAGCTCTCCGGGACAGCATTTCAGGATCTAGAAATAGCTTCCACTAACTCCGTTTCTTAGAGGAGGAAGATTTTTAGATAAGCAATTCCAGTAAGTATTCCCTGACACTGAGGCACACATACAAAATAAAGCAAGAAAGCTCTCCCTAGGGCAAAGAATACATATCACTTGCCATTAAGCTTCCTCAAAGTTTAGGTTATAAAAGATATTGTCAAGATAGCTGTACCCCAGGCAGAAACAGGAGTTAACTTGATCCTTCCAGGGAGTAGCTTCAGAGTGTGTCATTCCCAAGACACCTTTCATGTGAAGGACTAAAACAACTAGATGTATCTATCTAATTGCTTCAAAGAGTAGAACTAGTTCTCATCTACAGAAATGAAGGAAAGCTAGTTGTCATGGTTTTCGATCAATGCTGAGCAATGTTGAATCTGGCATTCCCAGGACCAGAGAAGCTGCAAGAGTACCCTGCAGCCCTGGCACTGCCTTCAACACAGCTAGACCTGTGGAGGAAACCCAGCCCTCTGAGACGAGTCACAGGGTGTCCAACCCTTCTGGTTTTGAATGTCTTCTCTTCTGCTTCCTCTGCTGCTACAGAATTGAGCCAGCCATAGACAGAAAGCCTACCAAAAAACCCAGACATATATTTTTGGTTACCAGAAATTGTGACAACAGGAGTCAGTTTGTGCTTAGGAGGTGTTGCAGCAGGCAACATAAATAAATATTCTACTGATCTATGGAGAGGTAACCATTCGGTAAATGGCAGAGGAAGCAAATTGAAAAGATTGCAAAGGGAACAGCTTTTACTTGGAACTGCCACTGTTCTGCTTACTCTCAAAAGTGAAACTAACAAGCCCCACACAGAGCTACTTGAGTTTAATATTTTGCTAGCAGCTGCAGTAACACCAGTAGAAGTGGATTGTCATGCAAGTGGTTGGGGAGATAGAACTACTGCACTACTATGGTTAGCATCTGTGTTTCTTGATTTTTTATATGACCTAGCGCTACAAAAATATGCTGGCAAGGGTTTGGGATTTTTTTTTTAATCCCTATAAAATGCTGGTTGGCAAAAGAACAGTATTTAAAATAGCTTTAAACATTTTAAATATAAACAGATAATTGAAACAGTAGCACAGTTACATAAGTTTCTTCAATTGTGTGCTTCCATATCTTTGTGACTTTTATTCCCCACACTGCTTCATTGAAAAGCAAGAAGATAAAAAGTAGTATCTAACCCCCAAAGCTCCTTCTCTTAAGCTAACCTTGTCTTTGTGCTGGAGATAGTCTTTGCAGTAGCAATGGTAGACACCTTATATGATGAAATGCAGTAAGAGTTTTCACCAGTGGAAACTGGAAACTCCCATGACTGATAAGCAAATACAACATTAGATTGGATTCCTTAACAGAAGTTCCTAAAATAATAAAGTATTTTAATTTCATAAGACTGGAGCTTTATATCAAGATTTTATCTTGTACAATTCAGAGACTTAGGACTTTATAAGAATGTGCTCATTGTCCATTTCTTAGCATAATATTCCACCAGTTTTAAAGCAGCGCATACATGTTAATGCCAGTCAGCCAGAAACTTTGATTTTGAGTGTTAGGCTTAGGTTCCTTTCTTGCTCCACTTTTTTCCAAAACTCAGAGGATTCAGCCAGAGGGCTATTACTTTTCAAGATGGCAAGCCTTCAAGGAGACCTCTGAGACAGAAAGATGAGGAAAATGCTTTGTTTCTACAGAAGGAACTACTAGGGCTGATTTAGTTAGAAGAAATCCCATCTGTCTCTTCACTCTTCTATTTCAGAAATCCTGAATGAAAATTCCTGTTGGGAGACAGATCAGTGACCAGTGGAAAAAAGAGAGGAAGATGTCTGGGTGAGTGGCCAAGGTGGCTGCCTGCAGAGAATTCTGTGTGCATACAGGGAACAAAGAAGTGAAATGATGTAGTAACTCAGAGTCTACTGCAGCATAATGGGGATTGTTCTTCCAGCTTGTACAATACAGCAAAGACCATGGATCTAACAGGAGCGAGAAGAGATCATTGGAGAAAGAGATATATCACAATGGAAAGCTTTCTCAAGTAAAGCTGGCAGAATTCGGTCTTTAGAGGTAGACAAACCAAACAGTTTTGTGAAAAAAGCCTAAGCAAGAATGTAAACTTCACCAAAACATACAAACAAACAAACAAAACCCACCACCCTCAAACCAAAACCAACATAAAAAGCCAGCAGAAATAAAAGAGGGAGACTCAGGCTTGTAGAGCCCAAAGAAGCTTATAGCCATCATAAAGTGAGGCAAATATTTGCAAAGACCTGAGGTTCTGTGAATCTTCATATTTTTAAGTCAGCTCCCTGTGGGATAAAAATTAGTCACTTCATTCTTCTCTACCACTGGCACAGAAGAAGTTGTCCAAAACACAGACTTTGGAACAGAGGATAAAAATGCATGAAGCCAAGAATTACATTACATGTAATGCAAACAATGTACCTTTTTATATTTATAGGCCTATGACTTGGGAATAACAATTAAAATAGTATAGTAATTAATAGTATTGTTATTGTCTGAAGAAGACATAAGGCAGAGGAAATCAGTGACAGACTTCCCTGAAATCACACTGAAAGGTGTGAAAAGAGAAGTTTTAGACAACTTCTTTCATAGCAGCTCTTTCTTTGAAAGTAATTCAGTGAAGAAATGCCACGAGCATAAATATTATTAAGTTTTCACTCCATGTGTCAGTCAGGCAAGTGACAATTTTGGTAATTTCTTGTATTTTACTTACAATGTCTCAATAGCTATTCAACAGTTTCTGACAAAAGATTCTATTTTCTGTGCAAAGTTGTGAGACTGAGAAGGAAAAAGAAGAGTAATAGGATTCTGCAATATCCTTCTTTGCTGTTAGTTATACTCTGTTTTTGATTCTTACTGTAAATTTCAAGTTTTCAAAAAAATCTGCTAACAATGCTTATTTAACTCTGCAAACTGAAACACATGTTCCTTCTTTATTTGTACTTTAAACTAAAATGGAGCATACGTTTTTAGGCAGCTGCCACACCCAGCCTCTGCTGGTGCAGCTTTAGACTAGCCCCCTTCATCCTCTTGTTGAGTAAGAAACAGTTAAAGAAGCTTGTGCCTTGTCTAATAGCCTGTTCTGCTAAGATGCTCTACATAGCATGGAAAAAGCCAGATCTTTCAGAACAGTTCCTCACTTCGAATTCATACATCGCTGCTTAGAAAAGTCTAAAGCAAGATCTTGACCCTGTTTCAAGACAAAACTTGATGTTCACATTAACAGTGAAGGATGAAGAAACAGTATTTTTGCTTACAACCTGACAGACACATTCCAAAAGAAACAGAAATACCTTTTCCTAGTCTCTCTTATTTAGTCCTGACTCACTCTGGATGTGTTCTTTGAAAATATATTATGTAGACTACCTATATCCCAAAAATCAAGTGAAAATAGTAGATAATAAAATTATGGTATGAATTATTAAGTAGATTTTTACAATCAATGCTCAGAAAGATTCTGCCATAGAAATTCTTTCCCAGTCTCATTCTGAATGTTTAGATGCATTTCTAAATACAAATACTTTTACGAATCTCTCAGGAAGCCATACTGCTTCAGGCACCTTCTGAATGCTGGCATACAAACAAAACAGTATGGCTGTGGTTTTCTTCTCTTTTTTCCTCACTTTCATGATGTTGGGAAAAAAAAGAATAAATAATCAAAATTTTGAGCTAGATACATCTTGCAAATCTTTAGTACATTATACAGAATCAAAACTGTATTACCAGACACACAAAGAAGATTGTTTGTCTTCATGTGCTGAGGGATGATGATTCAGAACCACAGTCTTCACTTACGAAATATATCCACATTCATCAAAGTTAAGAAAATATATCTAGATTTATGCAAAATTTGCTAAAGCAGTTTTTTTCTTATCCTTGGAGACAGTTTAGGATCAAAAAAAAAATTTAAGTAACTTTCAAGGAGTAAGGTGGCAGCCAGTTAAAAATGCAGTGGGAAGGGGTAAGGCATTTGTTCTGAAGCCTGTAACTTCTGAGGCATCCTGCAACAATGAGTGCCCTCCTGAGCCTGTTGCATTTTGTAAAATGGGATGTGTCACTGACGTGTAGTGATGATCAATGGAATTAAGCCCGTAATCCTACTAGTTCATCCGTAGTTAAGCACTAGATCCCTCACACGGATCAGTCTCCACAAGGTCCTACAGATTTTCACCATGGGATCACTGTTGAAGGAGCACTGATGTTTGTTGTGTGGGCAACAGAACAAAGGCTGCCAGGGAGCATGGCCAGACTGGTACTGAGAAGAGGAAGTGACAATGTGGCAAACATACAGCATGAGGACAAATACACATCCCACCTCTGTGTGCTCAGTTGTGCAGAGCAGTTGCTACTTCAATTTCCATGGGCACCCAGCCACTGCTCACTCTCATGTAAAGAATTTATTTTGGCCTTTGTTTTCTTGCAGAAACACCCTTGATCAATACTACTTTAAACCAGGTTTCGTCTGTGGGTCTCCTTATTGCTACATCCATAGATTATGTCTATACACTCTAATACACAGGGAATACAGCTCTGGGCACTCTTCTTCATGTATATACATAATCATACTATTCCAGGAAAGAAATTAGCACTAACACCTGACATCTATTGCTACAGATTTACTACAAATCATCCTAATAGTTCTGTCTTGTAACAATGTCACAACTCAATTTATATCTAGTCCCAGTGCAATTTGGACATTGTGATGCTGTGACACAGTGCATGACTTGCTTCTGTTACTCATCCAATGCCGTCACCACACAGTTCAGCCCACACACTCTTCCCTGCAGGACTTTCTGTCTTTTAACCCCTCTCACTGACAACAGGTTATAGGTGTTTTTCAGAGCTTGTCAGTGTTGCTCAAAGGCAACAGGCACAAGGAAGACACTACAGTTCCCATTGTGAATGCTCTTTTGAGATACAGCTTACTGAGACCTAAGCAGTAACTTCTAAACATGCTCCTGCCACATTTTTACTTTGTTTAGAGTTGCGCTGACACAGTTGTGTGTCTCACTTGGGATCCATTAGGAGACAGATTAAATAGAAGTGGACATACATCAGACATACAAAATAAAAGCACAGAGATGGCGATACAATATTAAAAAAAAAAAGAATTAAAAAAAAGGAAATGAACTCATAGGCAAAATTATGCATCCTGAAATTTGTTTCTTTTCTTGTTTGTCTTTTTTTTTTTTGCATCTGGTTTCTCAAGAGTATGATTGAGAAACAGGGAAGTGTATGTCAGAATTTGCAAGCAGAGAATTATGCCTCTGTGGATTGAAACAAAATCTGTATCACCCATGGGGAAGAGGAAGGAGAAAGTATATATGCTCTGGCAATAACAAAACACCATTTTAAAAACATTACCCAAGACAGCAATGTACTTACTGTTTTGGCCCAGCCAACTTACCTACTGTGTGCTTCCCCAGACAGTTATTGCACTGGCTTCTAGCCATATGCCTCTGATAAAGTGCACTTGGAATGAAACAATTTTGCTTCCAATATAATTTCTTCTTCTCCAGAAGCTGTCCTACAGCCAGTTAGCACAGATTTTCTGACATAACCACAGAAGATGCAATCAAACTACAATCATAACATCTTAGAAGAAAGTTTGACAACAGGTATTACAAAATTGGCAGGAGATGCAAGGTAAAGGCATATTTTACAAATACTTATCATGTCACCACTGTGACTGCAACTGTCATGGGACCACACCTGCAGTCGTGCATTCAGCTCCGGGGACCCCAAAATGAGACCTGGACCTCTGGGAGCAAGTCCAGAGGAGGCCCCCAGTAAAGATCCCAGGGTCTGAGCACCACTTCTCCTCATGAGGACAAGCTGAGAGAGCTGGGCTTGTACAGCCTGGAGGAGACTGTGGAGACATTATAGCACCTTTAAGTCAGTACCTAATGGCACCTAAAGGAAGGCTGAAAAGGAACTTTTTAAAAGAGCATGTAGTGACAGAACAAGTGGTGATGAGTTTAAGCTAAAGAAGGTATGTTTAGATTAGCTATTACAAGAAATTCCTTACTGTGAGAGTGGTGAGCTGCTCTGACAGCTTACCCAGTGTAGCTGTGGATGCTCAATCCCTGGAAATGTTCAAGGCCAGACTGAATGGGCCTTTGAGCAACCTGGTTGGGGGGATGGTGGAACTAGATGATCTGTAAGGTTTCTTCTAACTGAAACCATTTTGATTCTATTATCAAAGCTGTTCACCCAAAAGGGATTAACTAAATTACTGATGGATTATTTAAGTACAGCTAATCACTTCAAACTTAAGTTACCTGAGTATTACTCTGCTATGGACAGAGGGACTGAGACGAAAGATGTGTCTCCTAGTAACTACCATCTTCACCATAAAGTCTCTGGCTACCAGCATTATGATTTTTTTTCACCAAAACTTAATTTCCTTTGTCCAGCTCTAAAATTAACTATCTTACTGCTTGTGTGATCAGACCACCAAAACAGATGTCAGTTGCTGTTTTGCTGATAAACAAACAGCTTTTATCTGCAGGATTTCCTTCTAATAAGTACTCTTCCCAGAACATGAAGGCCATATAATTTTAAGAAAATTCTTACCTAAAACCTCCTCTGGAATTAATATTTCTCCAAAGAGTGACTGTTCTGGAAAAACTTATTAGTTTCATATACCATTCTTTTTCTCTGAAAAGCAACAAGCAAATTCAGAGGATCTGAGTTGTTGCAGCAAATAGTGTGCTGTAGAGCTATTCAATTTGTAGCAGGGCTAAGGCTTACCAGTCCAATCTTAACACTAAGGTTAAGTACAGGTAATTGTGTAACATAGTATCTGCTGCTTGGGCAACTTATTGCCCTCTCTATGCCTGATGCAACTGGAACATGTGGAAAAATTCACAGCTTTATAGTTAAGCTTAAAAAGAATAAAACTTTTCATTTTTGAAATTGTGACAATACTTGCAAATTTTCATTTAAGCAATTTTTGGAAACTGGACCTGTGGCACAAACTTGAATCTTTAACTACTGTAAGCTTTATATTTCTATTGTAGTGGCTTTTCATTTTAGTTTGGACATTTCACCTTTTGGATCAGTGGTGCCTTGTATTTTGGATAATTTTGATTCATGATATTTCTAGTTTTCTCACTACATAGTTACAGAGGGCAGCAAGGTAGATTCTTTCAGGCCTATATTCCTTTTTCTAACTTGAAATGTAAAAAATATAATCAAGTTATTTTATTTTACATCCTATTGTTATATTTAGGATTTTCTTGGCTGCAAGTCAAATTTTGGAAATCTAATAAATTATAAGAATGGCTTCACCCTTTTCCTTCCTCCTTCTCTGGCAACTCCCAAAGTTGTTTTTTTGATGTATCAGTTCAAGATAGCCATTTATGTTATGATGGGCTGAGAAAAGACTTCAAGGCTTCTCCCCCCCCCCACCCCCATAATTGTCTGTTTTGCTTTAAAGGGAAATAAAACCTTACTTAGGAAAAAAAACCTTTATTTTTTCAAATCATATCTGACAGATTGCAACAAGAACAAAGTACAGCAAAAAAATTACTCACATGGCCTGCAAAAGTTAACAAAACAGTGATCAAATATCAAACCTCTATCCAAGTCCTTTTTGGGACTCTAATATATATTCTTCATACTACATACTAAAGTGGGTAATGCCCACTTTACAGTGGCATCAGATAAAGTTTGTGAAACCATTTTAACACAGTCAATAGTATCTGCTCTCTATATACCAGCTTTTGACAAGTTTTATATTCCTCCAGACACATGAAGGATAATCTGAAGTCAAATATAAATTTCCTCCCATGTGTAAGGAGTTCAGCATTAACTTCAACAGGTTTCCTGGAATCTACCAGACGCCTTTAATGGGTAAATATCTACAACCTGGCAGAAACTTTTTTGCATCTGTCAATCCATTCCACACAGCATTTATTGGCAATTTAAAAAGGGAGCAGATTCACAAAATATGATGGTGGAACTGAATATCTTTTTCTTCCTCAAAGAGTACAGCTATTTTTGCTACTTCTAACAACTAATTGTAAGACACGTGTATAGCATGTCAAACAAGCCTAAAAAGAATGTATGTGATAAGTCAAAAGCTGCCATGAAGGTTTCTCCTCCCATACCCATCTTTGCAAAAGAGGCTAAAATAAGTCAGTCTAGGCTGTGGTCTCTTCTACAGTATTCCAACATTAGGAAAAATAAAAGACAGATATTTTATTCTTCCTTTGAAACTGCAACCCTGAGATGAGCTCAGCTGGTTAAAGCGTGGCGCTAATAATGCCAAGGTCATGGATTTCATCCCTGTATAGGCCATTCACTTAAGAGTTGGGCTCAGTGATCCTTCTGGGTCCTTTCCAACTCAGACTATTTTGTAATTCTGTGAATTTAATAAATGTAAACAGGAGTGGAGCATCTGACAAATTCTACACACACACAATGTATAAACGAAGAATTGCTGTCATACCTTTACTTGAATTTTCATGCCAATATTATCTCTGCAATTACCTCAATAATCTAATATTTCTGTTGTGATCATTTGTTTCGCAATGTAAAGCTTGTTTTTGTTTTCCCTCTCTGTCTCTTTCTCTATCAGAAAAAGCTACAAGTGAAATCAGTAAATACATAAAACCAGAGCACTCACCTCATTAAGGCCTGAGAGCACAGTGACATGACGCACTTGTGTCCCATTCAGGGGAATACAGTGCAAAGAGTCCCAAGTCAGCTGAGACTCCAGAGAGCCACTCCAAGCAGCACAGAATACTGGCATTGCATTTATAAATAGCACAGATCTAAATAGTCTGAAGTCAGCTTTATTGTTTACATGCAGTGAGCTTGGGTAACCCCACACTGGAATCATCACAGGTCTCCCTGCGCCAGAGTAAGTACAGAGACAGGTAGGGTTTATTAGATCTTTGCAGCATTTTCTGTCTTTCACGGTGTCTGTAGATGTTTTTTATCTTATAGTTTTACTGAGGTTGGAAAATCCAATGCCAACACATGTCATTAAGACTTTCTCCCCGCCCATGTGCTCTTCCTCAGAGGTCTTTGTTTCAATTTTAAACATGATCTGGAAGAAGCTTCTGAGGTGTCGCAGAAACTCAATTCTGAATGAGAGAAAATAATACCATTTAAGAAACAAAACAGGAAGTTCCATAGCATTATGTACCAACACAGATTCCAGCAATGAGCATGGTGAATAAAGTAAGAAAATATCTTAGTATAGTATAGAAAAACAGTGCTACAACCTCCAAACATTGTTCTCATTTGTGTTGTAGAAGCAGCTAGTGGCCCCTCCTGAAACCTCTGCACTCTCTGTATAAGCAGAGAGAGGAATGCCTGGTAATACAGCAAGACAAAATGGTGAGAGAAGAAGAAAGAAAGGAGAGAAATATAGCTAGGCAAGTTATGTACCCCTGATGCTGACTCTTCATCAGGGCTATATAAACCCCATACCAACCTGTGATTCTCCTTTCCCCTGCCCAATGTTTAAAGTACAAATAAAACATAAACAGGCACAGCCAAAAGATTGGGGGCATACTTTAAGAGAGATCCCAAAGCATGTGTTTGATTTCTGACTGATTACTATCTTCCTCATTTCTCAGTTAAATATTTCATTAGGATTACAATCAGACTCAGAATTCTTCCTGTTTTCTCATTTTCAGAAAAAACAAATTCCTTTCATTATTTCAGACAGAAAGGCAACAAGAAACTGAACAATCACACTGATCCTAAACAAACATTGACTGGAGGGTAAGTAACATGAAAAACTATAAAAAAGGAAAAAACCAAAAATATCCAAGAAAACATTTTTACTGGCTTCTCTGAAAGAGGGAACATGCAACTGCATCAAAAGACTACAAAAGAAAATTTGTAATTGCTTCTGACAGAAGTTTGGACTCTTCCAGTCATGGCCACAAGCAAGTCTGCAGTCTTGAACAAAGATTTCATCTCCTCCAGCAACTGGTATACGCCTTTCTTAGTTTAAAGAAATGGAATGTGGACATCCAGGTCACACATTGGCTTGTCTGCTCTACATGCTGAAAGCATAATTGCAAGCTAATCACACATAGATCATTATAACAAATCAAGAGTATGTATCCACAAAATGGGAAGAAGGAGAACAAAAGCCTAAGTCTGTCCCCACTGTGGCATCATGAGGCCCCTGAAACTTCTTGGCAGCTCCTATTCACAGAATTTGTGAAGCAGTAGAAGGAAAATTGCAGGAGCAAAATTGCTGGGCATGCTGCTATTCCTGCACTCAGATATATGCATGGGAGAAGAGGAAAATGGCAGGGGCTGGAAAAAGAGAGGCTGTGTTACCTCTACTGGTGTGTGCTTGGGATGATCTTACTTATTTCTGGGGCAATCTGCTAAATACCTCTGCAGGGTGAATGTGGGAACATCGCTCCCAATGCTAGGTATACTTTCTTCTGTACCTTCCTGGACTGATAACTTGCCTCAGCACAGACACCAGCTTTCTCATCTCTCAAATGGACTAACAGTTGAAATGAAGAACTGAAAAGCACATTTTCTTCCATGCCTCCCCAGTTGCAAGGTTTCTGGTTGCAGCTATAGTAGCCAAAAGGGCATATGCTAGCACAAATGCTTCAATAAAGCTGACAGACAACAAGCTCTCTATCAGCCTTCTCCTTAGCTGGGTCTTTTCAGAGCCTCTGGCAGTGTGACAAGAAAGCAGCCAAGCCCAAAACAGCAGGAGTGGCATGCTAAACTGCAAGGAGGGCACAGAATAAATTGTAAAAATGACAGAGGCCATATGGAGCCAGAGACTCAGGGAAAAATCCTAAAAGGTGATCATGATCTGCAACATGTTGGTGGGATCACTTCAGCCCATTATGGTCTTTGCACATAGCTGGGCTACCCTGCATCTCTGCCTCTGCTCCCTTTTGAATAAAGGCAGAGTGAGAAAAATATCAGCCCCTACGTACATGGGAAAGGCTCTTTAGGGTGTGAGCAAAGGGAAGGCTGCCTGGGGACACCAGGGGAGAATGTAGAAGCAGCAAAAGGCCAGCATTGTCTTGTAGCAGTGGAAGCACAAGTGGTATAATCCCTGAAAATAGAAGTGAAAGAGGCAGGAAAGTAGGGGTTCATGACAGAAAGCAGGCTTGTATTAGCTCTGAGGTTGGTCTGGGTGGCGGGTAGGCACCTCAAATAACAGCGCAGGCTGTGCCAACCACACAGGCACAGGCTGGAGGACTGAGGGAGGGGGTGAAAGGTACAAAGAAGGTTTATTTTGCTGAAAATTTACACTCTGTGTTCAGGCAAGAACAAGGCAGCAGCTGAACAGAGCTGCTCCTTAGGTGCAGGGACAGCTAAGCCACAGTGGAGGCCTTGCAGCCAAAAACAACAAGAGTAAAAGGCCTGTTTATCTAAGTGCTATCTTTTCCCCAAAGCCTGCTAAGAGTTACCAAGAAGTACACAAGAACTTCACACATTGGGCAAAGCAACCACCTAACAGACCAGTGTGAGAGAAGACCTGTGCACCAGCAGTCCGTTCTTGATTCAGTTGCACTGGGGCCTGCAGAGGGCTTTGCCTGCTAGCAGTGGCAGCCCCAGCACGGCTCTCCTGAGTCCTGCCAGAGACCTTCCCAGGAGGAGACAAACTGAGGAGCTGAGGGTGGGCATCCCCAGTCAGGGGAGCAACTGCAAGTGTCAGCTTGGCTGGGCAGAGGCAGGCTAACCCTACCTCTTGAAGCCTTGCAAAGCCATGGATTGGGACACTCAGGCTTTTGGGGTACAACAGGTTTTCCAGTTGCTGTCCTTCATATACCCCTGGCTCCTGCTGATCCACCTGCATGCAGACAGGTCTGTCGTGCCAGACTGACCCCTGTGAGTTAGTGGGATGGTCAGCACCCTGCATTTGATTTTAAGCTCAGCGTGACAGAAAGACACTTATTTCTGTGAAATATGGATACTAAGAAAGGGGTAATGCAGAGCAGCTGCTGGTCATGCAGACTGTTAGCTCCATTGTCACTCAGAACAGCCCTGAATGAACAACCTCATGGTGTTGCCTGCATTTCCACTCCCCATTGTTAGCTGAGGCAATGGATGTCTCCTGTGGAAATAAGAAGTTTCCTCATTCTAATGGATATGTTCCAAAGCATTTTGTCCCCATGTGATGCTCTCAGCAGCCAGCTGAACTGTCACATTCATGATGGACAGGAATGCCAATAACATAGCTTTTAAATAATTTCAGATTCTGTAGGGTGAAAATGCTAGATACAGAGATGTCACAGCTCTGATAAAAAAAAAGGGACCAGGACATGGAACATGGCAATACTGCAATTCACTTCATAAGCCTGCGTAACCAATGAGTTGCTTTAGGAGCCAAATTAACCAGTCCTTTATAAACAGCCCTAGCTGAGGGTATAAAAAGCCCTAGTTGTAGAATGCAGCCTTTTATGCATTCAATCTGAACAGATCCTCATAGGATTGATGAGTCACAGATTCTCACAGAATCATAGAGTTTACAATGTGCTGCTACAGTATGTGTACTCCTGACCTTTATCCCTGCTGCATACACCTAGCTTGGAAGAAGTGACAGCCCACCAACTTCAACTCAGCCTGCTTACAAAATAAACTAGTGCATTTGCTTGATTTTCACAGAACAGAGTAAAAAATTTAAAAAATACAATGACAAGTGATTGGATTGTCTCATATGCTTAAGTGTGCACTTCAAACACTAATATCTACTTTTCTGAAACATTTCACATGAATACTTACTTTACTGAGGATTACTTCCCCTTTGTGCAATGGGACACTTCCCTGTCTTCCCCTCAAAATCTGATGAATGTTGTTTCCAAGGTATCAGGAGTTGAGAAGAGCAGTTAGGTAATTTTTAGCTCTCATGTGATGGCACCACCATTCTTCAGTTATCACAGTACTGTACCTTTCACGTATACAGCACCGGTACCATGATAACCGAAAAAGGACAGTTCATACTCTTATTGTTTGATGCCATTGCCAGATAAACAAACCTCCCTTCATTTGACTAACGAATAACTGCTCAGTCTCTAGAAATAACTGTGATCTAATAAATCCCTTGCAAGTCTGAAAAATTAAATTTTTGATAAATTGTTTTGATAAACTTGTTTTGATAATTTTTTTTTCATAATTTGCTTCTCTAACCAGTTTCTCTTAGAACTCAATTAGGCCACTGCTGTGAAAGATAATAAAAGTTGTTTTTATAAATACATTAAAAACTAAAGGAAAGCCATGGAAAATCTCCATGCTTTACTGGATGTGGAAGGGAACATTGTCATCAAGGACGAGGAAAAGGCTGAGGCCCTCAGTGTCGTCTTTGCCTCAGTCTTTAACAGTAAGACTCATCCTAAGGGTTACTAGCCTCCTAGCTGGGGTACAGGGAGCATAATCTTCTGAAATACACAGGGAAGTACTGAGCCATTTAGACACTCAGAATTCTATGGGATGGAATTTATTCAAGGGTACTGAGGGAGCAAGCAGAAGCACTCACCAAGAAAATCTTCCTCATGTAGCATCAGTCCTAGCTAACTGAGCAGGTCCCAGAGGACTGGAAGTTGGCCAGTGTGATGCTCATACCAGCAGGGTCAGAAGGAAGACCCAGGGAACTATAGTGATAGCCCATGGATTGGATGGGTACCCTCTTACTAGGTAAAAAACTGTTCATATGGCTGGGCCCAGAGCGTGGTGGTGCATGGAGTTACATCCAGCTGGTGGCCAGTGGCCAGTGGTGTTCCCCAGGGCTCAGCACTGGGGCCAGTTCTGTTTAATATCTTCATCAGTGACATGGAGGAAGGGATTGAGGGCACCCTCAGTCAGTTTGCAGGTGACACCAAGCTGGGAGAGAATGTTCATCTGCTGGAGGGCAGGAAGGCTCTGCAGAGGTATCTGGACAGGCTGGATCATGGGCCAAGGACAGTGGTGTGAGGTTCAACAAGGCCAGTGCTGGCTCCTGCCCTGGGGTCACAGCAACCCCAGGCAGTGCCACAGGCTGGGGCAGAGTGGCTGCAAAGCTGCCACAGGAAAAGGAGCTGGGGGTGCTGCTGACAGCAGCTGAACATGAGCCAGCAGGGCCCAGGTGGCCAAGAAGGCCAATGGCATCCTGGCCTGGACCAGCAATGGTGTGGCCAGCAGGAGCAGGGCAGGGATTGTCCCCTGTACTCAGAACTGGTGAGGCCACACCTCAAATCCTGTGCTCAGTTTTGGGCATCTCAGTACAAGACAGACATTGAGGTGCAGGAGCATGTCCAGAGAAGGGCAACAGGGCTGGGGAAGGGTCTGGAGTACAAGCCTTGGGAGGAACACCTGAGGGAGTTTGGGGTGTTTAGCCTGGAGAAAAAAGGAGGCTCAGGGGAGACCTTATTGCTGTCTACAACTGCCTGAAAGAAGGTTGTAGACAGGTGAGGGTTTGGTCTCTTCTCCCAGGCAATAAGTGACAGGATTAGAGGAAATGGCCTCAAGCTGCACCAGTGTAGGTTCAGGTTGGATATCAGGAAAAGTTTTTTCACTGCAAGGGCCGTTAATAATTGAAATGGGCCACCCATGGTGGTGGTGGAGTCACAGTCTGTGGATGTGTTAAAGAAACAACCAGATCTAGCACTATGGTCTAGTAGAGAAATAGTGTTCAGTCAAAAGTTGGACTTGATCTTAGACATCTTCTCCAACTGTGATGATTCTGTGACTCTGTAACCTATGTTTACAACTAGCAATATAAGCAATTAATTTATTTTCTATCCCCTAGACAACTACCAGCTACAGACAAAGCTTCAGTAAAAACTGAGACTAAAGGACTAGATAGGATTCTGCTGCCCAATAAAACCTTGAAATAGCATATAGCTCCACGAATTTAAGTTTTAAGCTGTTTCACAGGAAAAATCACACCTTTAGAGTTTGGCTAGCCATTTGAAATAAGACATTTAACGACACAGCTACAGAGAGATCACCAGGGAAAACATACTAGTGTACACTAGGGAACAAAAAGCCAACTGATGTACACATACATTCCACATCAAGAACCATCAATAAACCCTGTATCTGCAATTCTCAGAAATAGGAAAAATATAGAACAGTAAGGGACTCATCCAATATGTAGAAACAAACCCTAGGCAACTTACACCAATTTTCTCATTTGAAGTCAGGTACAAGTTGTTCTATTTGTTACCATAGGCAAAGTCTTCCATATATAAAAATAGCTGTGCAATAAAACTAGTGAATTAAAACAAGACTGTGTAACTGAACTGAACAAAACAACTTACGTGTATGGAGACAGAGGTCCCAACAGGACTTTGGAAACATCCCGCTGTCCAAGGGTCATAAGGAGCAGAGCAAGGCTCTGATTTGTTGAATCCACACAGCCTCCCTGCAAACCAAAATGTTTTAATAATTAATCTCTGTACAAACCAGAAACTGTGATGGGAGGAGAGTAACAAAGGCAAAAGATAGACTTAAAAGGGTGAAATACCACTCCCAATTTTTAAGGGCCAAGGAGATAAAAATCTACATTCTTTTAACGATGACAAATTAATTTCATATGGCAGGCTGGGAAAAGAAGAGAACTAAAACAAAACCCATAAGAAAGGCACATTAAATATCCCTCCTAATCTGTTTTAATACCTCAGAATGTAAACACTGAAGAATTTCTTTGCAGTAAATTGAAAAGAGGTATTAGTTCTAGTTCACATGCATCTGAAGATCCATGAATTCCAGCACTTTATGGTAACAGTTACATTTGGACAAATAGTTCAATGTTAGCAGGTGCAAAACAGCAAGTTAAAAGTTATTTAGCACTTATCCACAAAAACCCTTGCTGCCAACTTTTGCAAGTTTACACTTGTAAAATATTTCCCCTCTATAATTAAAATAGAAGATTATTTTTTTATTGCTAAGTGAAAGAGTCCTACATAAAATTAAGTAGAACCACACATACTCTTTTACATATTTGACTGTATTAAGTCATATGCAAGGTAAATAGTTCTGTATGTGGAAGGTGTTTACCATGATGCATACATTAATTAGAACTGGAAGGCCAGAATTAGAAATAAGAATTGTTTACAAAGCTGGAATATAAATTTAAAGAAATACTTTCAGTCAAGGCTGCTGTAGAGACTAGCCATATGAAATCTATCTGAACAGTTTTCTGCTGCATCAGGCCTAATGCTAAGTCCTCTGAATAGGCTCTCTGGAGAGACTGAAACTAAAACCTTGCCTTTTTAAAACCAAATTCTCTAATGAGGTAAACTGACAGTTACCTTTGTTAACAAGGAAGGTAACCTATCATAATTTCACGACATAACACTATCCAAGAAGGCAAGGGAGAAAATATATTTTGGACTACATAGATTAAGGGAATCAGCCAACGTGACAACCACAGCACATTTACTCAGTGACAGGCAGAAAGGCAGAGCCTTTCCAAGGAGGGATACTGAAGACTTAATTCTCAAGATGGCCTTGCTTCTGTGTGACAAACTGCAGCTCTATTCTTCTGAAAAAAAAGTCTGTGCATTACATGCAACAAACTACAGCACAGCAAAATAAGTAGCTCTGTTACATTCACTACCATGACCCAACTCCTAAAACATGCTCTTATAGCAGTACTTGCCCTCTTAACTGTGCGAACTTGCCATAACCAAAATGAAGTCCACATACTCAACCTAATACCGCCTACAGGACTGATAAAAATTTTGCTTTATCTTGAATGAACAGGGGACTTGCAAAATTTGCTGGTGCAATCTAAAGCCACAGATCTCACCAGTCGTATTTGCCAAGGAGAAACATATACCAAAGCAGATAAGAGTTTGGTAAGGAGTATTCCTGACACTGGACTTTCTGTACATGTAGTTTGATTAGTAATTCAAAATGCTCCTTCTACTTGGATGGAGCATTTTCTGAGCTTGTTTTGTTTCTCTACAGCTGAAAACATTATAAGGTATCTACTTTTATAACCCAATTTATACAGAAGCTTCAATCAGCATGGAGACAACCATGTCCTAAGAAATAAATCAAACCACAATGCATCCATCAGGTCCTAAGTACTTACATAAGCTTCCTTGCTGCAGTGAGTCAGTCACCCCCAGTACTGCTGTGCAGTAGTGATCTGGTATGCCCATTTGTGGCAGTGTTCCCTTGAGCCACTCTACCATCTCCTCAGGAATTCTCATTAGACATTGACCTTGATTAATGCCTCCTGGGCAGTTAAGCTCCTTTTTAGCTTACCAGAAACAGTCTGCTCCTAGGAAGTTCTGGCTAACAAACTGCTGTTTTCTAACAGACAGTCTTGGAACATTATTTTTGTCTAAATCATAGCCCAGGTGGAACTATACTATTGTTACTGCACCTTTTGATGAAAATTCCAGTAACAACTGACCCCGACTGCAGACAGAACGGAGAATGACAGAAGGCTAAAGCCAA